CTCTTCTCCCCCAGCTATGGGTAAAAAAGCTGGGCAGATCGGGTTCTATAGCCTTGGATGGCAATTGGTCTACCACAGAAAGAATTAGCAATCTACTTCGGAAAAAATGTGACTCGTCAGTCATGTATCGATAGATACATGAGCGCCTAAGCGTGTATTAGTCACGTCTTATAATTGACTGAAATTCACTTACGTGCTAACTCCATTGGGAAAGGTATGAATCCTCTTCTTCTCCCCCAGCTATGGGTAAATAGCAGGGCAGATCGGGTTGTATAGCCTTGGATTTTAACTGTTCTACCAAAGAAAGAAATAGAAAACTACTGCGGAAATATCTGCCTCGTCAGTCATGTATCGAAAGATAAATGATCGCGTAAGCGTGTATCACGAACGGCACATAACTGGCTGACTGTACTGGAGCTGCAGTATAAGAAACAAAGATTTGGAGCAAGTGCTAGAAAACGTATCATTTATAGAATTTTCGAAAGCATCAAAACTAACATGGAACTCGAAGAGAAAATAATGGCATAAGATATTGATTGTCCCACAGCCTGCTGCATGAGCAAAACAATGTGAGACAATCTGAAACATATATTATGGTGAAAATGTAGATAATTTTTGACTTATTCTCGTATATTTGTAATGGATTCGGATATTCACACAGGATTGGGGAGCATGGCATTTTTGGAAAGAAATCCATTTACATCTTATATAAAATTTAATTGAATTGCCATAAATGTTAAACCAGAAAAATTGAATTTGGAAATATTCTGAGACGGACAATTTTTTTCTTTTTAAACATAATAGATTTGAAATATTTTTGCATGAGAATCTTCGAAATAAATGTTGAACAATAAAAGGAATCAAATAAAAAGGAGAAACTTTTTCATGAAAAAGAAAAGCTAAGAGAATGAAAACATGATGAAGGAAAAAAGAAAGCAAATTTTTAAATGCTGTAGAAAACTCAAGACAGTAAATAACGGTAAAAGAAATGAAGAGTAACAAAAAGAAGACGAGAAAAATAAATGATAAATTAATTGAAAATCAGAATTATCCAAAATGGAAGCAAAACAAAGAAAGAAAATAAGAAAGGAACAATAATCGGGAAATGGTAAAGAAAAAAGAAATTTCTAGCTTGTTTTGTATATCACAACGATTAGTCAATTCAATTTTTATATGTTGGTCAGTTATTCTCCATTATCTAGCGGGCTAGTTAAAGATTGATCAATAAATCTATGTGACTATTTATCTATCTCAGTCTGTCCGTATCTATCTATCTATCTATCTATCTATATATATATATATATATATATATATATATATATATATATATATATATATATCAACATGTCATTATTTATCAATTTCTCTCTCTCTATTTCTCTCTATCTTTTCTCTCTCTATATATATATATACATATATATATAACTATCTGTTCATATTTCTCTCTATATACATATACATATATATATATATATATATATATATATATATATATATATATATATATATATATATATATATATAATTAAATGGTAATGGTATCTTAAAGTGGTCTGTTTTTTCTTTTAAATATTAGCTCTGGTTTTACATTGAGCTCTCAGGATTTCATCCTTTTGGGATTACTCATACGGGTTACTAAGTTCTTTATAAGTTAAAATATATATATATATATATATATATATATATATATATATATATATATATATATGTGTGTGTGTGTGTGTGTGTGTGTGTGTGTGTGTGTGTGTGTATGTATGTTCATTATTTATTTATCCCACTCTCTCTCTGTTTTTCTCTATATATCGATCTGTTCATATCTGTCTATCTATCTACACACACACACACACACATATATATATATATTGACCGTTATCTTTTCTAGTTAAACTCATAAACTAAACTTGCCTTTTCTTACGCTCATCTAATCCCACACAGTAACCGTTTGCCTAGAGTGGCTCTTGGGCCTTGAATTGGGGGAACATTAGTAAAAAGAAATACATACAAAATTGAAATGTATATTTCTTACTAAAAATCATGTCAAACTGAAACAGCCTCCCTTTGTATGATTTAGAAAAAAAATGCAATTTATCTGAACATCTCAGTCCCTGAAATGGTGAATTTATGCAAATATGCAGAATTAAGTTGCTCCTAAAATGTCCATGCTAAAATAATGCTAAATTTCAAAAGAAACAAAGGATTTTACTGAGGAAACCACTATTTATTTCTAATTATACTGTACACAATCCTTGATTGTGTAGATCTGCCGGTATCGTGAAGGATATCGGTGTAGTAATTTGAAATGGCGTAACCACTCAACATACCACATTAATCTCATTCGGTAAACCCTCATACAATACCTTAGGAAATGCAATAATCCGTATTTTGTCACACTGATTACATTAGTTTACAAAAAATAATTTTCTGTGGCTTGCATAAGAAGAGGTGTTTTTTATTACTCATTTTCATGAGGGGAATTCAAATTTCGTAAAAGTTTTGCTCTATCACCTCCTAGTTTGTTTTTTGCTTTCACTCATCACATTTTTATTATACTCCATATAAATTCAAAATATAATTTGTTTATTAGAGATTTAGGAAAATTTATTGAAACAGAACAAGTTCAGATGACAATTCCAGAACAACGTATCTATAAACAATTTTTTTGCTATCCTCTGCCAGCCGCAATGATGGAGAAAGCATTACCTCGAACAATCGCCATTGAGACACGCTGCAAGAACCACTCCGTTTCGCGAGGCTCGTCCCTTAATCGAGACGCAATCGAACCAATCCTCCGAAGGAACGCCATCGAACGAGGGCCAATAATCCCTGAAGTCTCCACTGCCACAGGAGTAAAAAAAAATCTATCAGCAAGAGGAGAATATTTAACTATTTTTTTTTTTTATCTCTACTTCCCGGGTGACGGACCTCGACTCAACCGCGGACCTGATCAAATTACCGACCGAAAATTTATCCGCGCAGGTCGCATCCCAAATCAACGACTTCCCCATTTTAAAAGGGAAAATGGTAATGCCATCCGGCCGCTTTCCATCACGGTGGTCGAGGCCTACGGGTTCGTTTTGGGAAGGGAACCCAGCTGCATCGAAACCTCTTTTGATGATATCGTTAATGGCTGCATGCCGTGGAAAACGGCCGGCACTACTTGTTTATTTTATCTATTACAAAGACATATTATAAAAAAAGAAGCATAGATAAAGAGCATTGACAGAAATAAATTACTTGGATAATACCATAGGTACACGTCATAGTACTTTCGACAGTCAGAAGTGTGTATTTTTTGCAACGATTCCCCTGTACTTTGCATTGGGTATGTCGCGTAAGAGAATCCAGTAAAAGTTCCCCCATCATCCTAGGTTTCCAGATGCCTTTTGTAATTTCTTTCTATCTTAGTAATAACTTAGTGAACTCTTTTTTCATGCTCATCATCCACAGCTCTGACGTTCAAAGGGAACAATTACATGTAGAAGGGGAGAAAGTGAATTTTGATTAACATTCGGCATCCCATATCCTCATACGTGAGTATTCACTGTATACAATCTTGGTTAAGAGGGACTTGTGTATTAGCATAGAATCTATGGCAGGCTGACTTACAAGCTTCAAATGCTCTCAGTTCATTTAAGACAACAAGATTTACTATAGCGCAAACTGTTTCCTATGTCTAAGAATGAGAGGAAGTTCTTGTTTCGTGTCCTAGAAACTGGTGTCCATATATCTGCCATGACCACGTTCCACTACTTAAACCTGGATGCTAGGCGCTCTAACTGTTGCTTAGATAGAAAAAAAAAATCACAGAGGAGGTAAATCAGGGTTTCTTGCTTTATCCAGTTGGGATCACTCTCACTTGCTCCTGTCATTTTCTTTTGAATATTCAAAATATGTGTTTGTCTTATCTATTACAAAGACACACACACACACACACACACACACACACACACACACACACACACACACATATATATATATATATATAATTAATTGATTTAAAATATGGTTTTTTCTCGCTACACAGTTCTAACCAGGTTTCAAAAATAGAAGCTAAAAGCCCCGAATATAATTTTGTAATTAAATTAAAGGCATTAGTTTCATTTCATCCTCAAGCAAATTTTTTTTCCACATTTTCAATCAATTAATTTATAATATTAATGCTCTGTAAATTTACATCGAGCACTATTTTGTAAAAATAAAAATATCTATAAGAACACCGGATTACATATCTTACTGTTCTTTTCTTTTTATTTATATACATACATACATATATATATATATATATATATATATATATATATATATATATATATATATATATATATTCAGAACATTGACAGCAATAAATTACTTGATAATAAAATACGTAACCGTCATCGTACAGTCGACAGTCAGAAGTGAGTTTTTTTTCCGACGATCTCCTGTACCGTGCATCGGTTATGTCGTATAGGAGAATCCAGTAAAATGCCCCCATCATCTTGGGTTTCTAGATGTATTTGTAGTTTCTTTCCATCTTAGTAATATCCTGGTGGACACTTTCTTCGTGTTCATCATTCACAGCTCTGAGCTTCAAAGGGAACAATTACATGTAGAAATGGAGAAAGTGAAGTTTGAGTAACATTCGGCATCCTATATCCTCATAAGTCTGTAATAACTCTATACAATCTTGGTTAACTAGTACTTGTGTATTACCATGGAATAAATGGCAGGTTGACTTACATCCTTTAGACGCTCTCAGTTCATTTAAGATAAGAAGCTCTGCAATAACGCAACCTGTTCTCCATGTCTAAGAATGAGAGGATGTCCTTGTTTCGTGTTCTTGAAACATAAATCTGCCGTGACCATGTTCCACTACTTAAACTTGGATGCTAGGAGTTCTGACTGTTACGTAGATACGTATAATCACGGAAAAGGTAATTCAGGTTTCCCTGGTTTATCCAGTAGGGTCACTGTCTCTTGCTTCTGACTAAAAAGACATTGTCTTCTGAATATTCTCTTGAAGTCAATTTTACTTAGGATGAAGGAATAAGAGATAATTTGAGTGTCTCATAGTAGACGGAGGCTTGGAACAATTTATATTTATAGAAGAATTATTGAAACCAGTTGTATTTATTAGATAAAGATAACAATGATTTGCATGACATCGTTGATCTTTCCACGTCGTCTGTGAGAAAGTGATTGTAGACGAGATGACATGGCATATCAGTCCCCGGATGTTGTCGAGGACCTCGAGATGAATAGAGAGATCATCAGGCCATATATGGCAACAGTATTCAATTCAAGACCAAATGGTAGATTTGTAGATTTGAAGGATGGACTCGGGCGAGAAAAAAACCTTCAGACGCGCCACAGAAAACCAGCTTTCCTTGTGGTAAATGAAGCTATTGATTCAATGTAGTTGTTCCGTCTCAGGTCAGTGAAATACGTGAGACCAAGAAGGCTCAGTGAGACGCTCGTTTGAAGCAAAGAATCAGCCATGCTGATAAGAGCATGAAATTATGCAGTTAGTCCATTGTAACAGGATTTTCAGCAGACGTATGGGGCTCAGGATCTCCAATTTTACATTTTAAATTAAGGAAAATAAGCAGTTCTCAGGAGTAACGGTCGTGAATTTCACTCACTCGTAACAGAATGAATTTGTCTTGTTGATATATCTCCGGTATTTTTAAGTGACTGAAGCTATTGTAGATATATGTATGGAAAAAAACTTAAACATTGATCCTATCTATGCTTAAGTCCATGCGTACTGGGTATTAGAATTTGAAAATGATTTCATTTCGACGCAATGAAAATTAGCCGACAGGGACAAGCGTAGGCTGCCAAAGGCGCCATTGTGTGTTTTTTTTTAAGAATAGAGTTATTAAAATTTATAATGAAAAAAAAAAACACAATTTTCTAAACAGGACACATCTAGCAGTCTTGAATGCATATACATGTATATATTGTAAGAACACTCTTGTGCAAATTAATTGAAACAAAACGAATAATTCCGTTATTATTTACTATTTTTTCCTATTTTGCCAATGAAACATGACCCAGTGCACAAAGTACTTCGTATGTCCATTCTACGAAGTCTTTCCTAGCAGACTGACCACAGATTCTAGATTGGATTTAAATCAGCAGAGTTTTCAGGTCAGTCTATTAATCTCAGCCTGTTTATGGCAATCTATCTATCTATCTATCTACACCCTTGTGCAAATTAATTGAAACAAAACGAACAATTCCGTTATTATCTACCTTTTTCGTATTTTTCCAATGAAACATGAGCCAGTGCACATGCTAGTACTTCGTATCTCCATTCCAAATTGTTCCTTGAAGAATAACCACAGATTGTTTCCAATCTCCCCTTTCGGCCTTGTGCCACATTTCCTTTACCATACGAGTATAAATATCACTTTCTCCTCTGGTTCCTAGAATTTATGAATCTAAACATAGTACTTGATTGGCGACCAGGTTTCATAATTTTATAGTTGAAATTTCTAAATGAATCTATACGTTCAATGTCAATAGCTTCTTTTATTGCACTTTAAACTTGTGGAACTCTCCTCCGATTTCTTGCTTCTCAGTCAACTTTATCTTCAAAAATTTAAATCTAATCTCAATCATTATCTTCTGTCTACTTAAATCCTGATCATTTATTGTTCTCTCTCCATAAGAGTGTTTTTTTGGGGTTTTTTATCCGGTATGTGTAGCGATTTAAGATCATGTTAAATTAAACGAGCTAAGAGTGTAAGAATGCTTTTTAATTAAACATGTCGGACCAAAGCATTTGTGGGTAATTCACTTATCTATGTCCTAACAGTCTCGAAAAAATATTTCAGTCATGGACGAGTGTGGGCTGTGAGCTGTGTTCCATGACTTTTCTTAATTGAGCTAGAGGGAGTTCAAATTCCATAAAAGAGGATCATTTTGCCGGCAAGAGGCAGATCAGTACACCCAAAACCAAACCTTATCTGCCACACTTCGATTTCTCCATTTTTCAATCTCTATATCCTCAGAATCGGGAGGAGACAGCTGAAATCCCTTGGGGCATAATGAGAAAGAATGGCTTGAAATATCCTCTTAGAATGTCCTCTTATCCTCAGGGGGGGGATTTTGTAGGCAACAGAGACAAGGAAGAGCAGCTAGCCATCTACTGACAAGCTTGCACGAATAAATGGGAAGCGGGAGTCGGAGCCTTACCACAGGGAGAAAAACTACCAAGTTCCACAAGGGAAAGGAAACTGTGGATATCATTGATGGCCTATGTCTTGAAGCGATACGGCACATAGCAGAACAAGATGAAGAACAAGTTTTCGACGTCCCCTTTAGATAATGAAGCGTATGAATACACCAAAATGATTCTTTCAAGTGTTTTTCACCATCATTGATCTTTCAACAACGGAATCACTTTTTGATCAAGCCCCCTTTTTTCTGCATTTAACCATATGGACCTCTAGAGATACAGCATCTAAAATCCAACCAGGCGCTTATCCACTGCTGCATTTAACGTTTGGTCTCACGATGCAAAGTCAGGTATGACTAACATTTTGATTAAAATTCTATGCATAATGTACTTCTGTCATAAATGAAATTATAGGACTCTTGAATAAAATTATTTATACACTGAACATAATTGAATGTTTATTAATTAAAGTACGGATATCTAAAATATAAGTACATACATTTTGAATAAAGGTTCTTACATATTGAATTAACGTACTTATATTCTGAATTAAAATATACGCCCGTGAATAAAGAAAAGTATGTTATATAAGCAGTGTTTCACTAACTTGAACCGATTTTAAATGTGATTTAAGTTTAAGCGTCTAATGATTCCTTTCTTTTTCTTTCAGATTTAAGAAATTAAGTCTTCTGCAATTTTAACCATGGAAAGATAAACAATCAATGTGTTATCGGAGTCATCGAATCCTATTACGAAAATGGACGTTCAAACAGAAATGCATTTCGCGCAGTTCTCGATTATTTGGGTCAACATAATCGACCAACCGAGTGAACAATTGGAAACGATGTAACGTAGTTGTGGAGAGGTTCAATTCCTGCGCGCGATGACGAATAGAGGGGTCTGGATTTTCGGCCACATTCTCGTTCACTGAAGCAATGTTTTTAGCTGAACGGCACAAACGATCACGCAATGGGGTTTTCACATCTGACACCGACCCAGTTTGTTTGCATTTACAGTTTTTCCAATTGCACTCTTGAAACTTTAACACGGTGTTTGACTGTTATTCTTTCTATGGTTGGAATTGCCAAAAACTTAAGTTGTTAAACCTAAAAGAAAAAAGAAGAAGAAATCATTAGACGCCTAAACTTAATTCACATTTAAAATCGGTCCAGGTTATTGGAACACCCTTTAAAAGTCAGTACAAATACATTGAGTCAATTGCCTCGTCCACCGCAAGGAAAGTTGTCTCCCTGTGCCGCGCCAGGAAATTTTTCTCCCCGGAATCGATCCTCCAGATCTATAAATCAACAATTCGCCCATGCATGGAGTATTGCTGCCATATATAGTCTGGTGCCCCTTCTGTTTGCCTCGGGGTTCTTGATAGTCTCCAGAGGCGGATATGCAATATAATTGGCCCTGCTCTGGCATTTCGTCTACAGTCACTCTCTCACAGACGCGCACTCGCCTCTCTCTGTCTGTTCTACAAATACATTCATGGTAATTGCTCCGAGGAGTTGCATTCACTGGTTCCCAGACTTCATGAGTTCAAGCGCCCTACGAGGCTGACATCCCGCTCTCACCCCTTCACTGTCGAAACTCCTAAATGCAGCCGTCTCTTCTACTCTAATAGCTTCATGCCTCGCACCTCTCGCCTGTGGAACTCCCTTCCCTATTCCAGTTTCCCTGAGGGCTATAATCTCCAGCTATTCAAATGTAATATCAATCGACATCTCCAGTTGCCTTGATCTATTCACTACCTTTCTCCTCATCCTTTCTTCTATCACTCCTGTCTGATCTCGCTCTATATTTCCTGTAACCCCTTGCGTCCTAGTGGGTTCCCGCCTTGCTTGCGGTGAAATACTTCAAAAAAAAAAAAAATAATTAAAATACTTTGGTTTCGAATAAATTTAATTACATTATGAATAGGTCTTAATTGATTTTGAATAAATATATTATTTAGAATAAAACTAATGTCCTCATCTTTCTTGTCATGTTCAAACCGTTTAGGCCGTTGGGTTATTCAGGTGTCTGTAGATGTGGGTCGACTTCCGGCTATGATGAACTGAATTTTAAACAAATTCTACAGCATTGAATTGTTCTCGTTCCACTATTCCTTTTTATGATACAGTGTAACCCGGATATAAGAGACCCGGATATAAGAGAAACCCGGATATAAGAAAGATTTTCTCTGGTCCCAAATTAGAGCCTGTGTTAATGTATATAAATTAGACCCAACCCGGATATAAGAGAAACCCGGATATAAGAGACTTATTCTCCGATCCTGACAACTCTCTTATATCCGGGTTGCACTATATTAGAATTGTTAAACAATAATATCGTACTTAAGAAAACCAGCAGCTAATAAAACTGGAACATAGCAAAAAAAAAATAAATGGTGGCAAAAGAAAGAGATCAAAAAAACAAAATGAAGCGGCGGCAAAGGAAGAAAAGATAGATAACAAGGCTGTAGCAGCAGCTGAGGCAAAAATGATATTAGGAATATGTTCTAACTTCGGCATTTCTAATGGAACAATAGAAGTAGATGATTAAATCTTTGCGTAATAATGTTATTGGCATACTAGTCGTGAGTTCAATAACAAAATGTTTAAGAAAGACGAGATGTCTTTAGACATGGTCACTTATAAAATGTGATTTACATTGCGTTTCTGTTTCTTTTCAAAATCATATTGTTTCATTTAATTCCCAACTGTCAACGCTTTTCTTTCATTTAATTGATGTTACCTTTATTGTCAACTCTTTCCTTCTTCACGAAAAACTTACGACTTTTCCGTTATAATAATAATAATAATAATAATAATAATAATAACGATTTCGATTAGTGTTTTCTCTTCTTTGTTTAAGTTACGTTAATTCTATCAATCATTGATGTTCTTTGTTTGTTTCCTTCTTTCTTCCTTTAGAATTTATTCTCATTTTACCAATCGCACTTTAAAATTTTCTTACTTTACTGATTTTCTTTCTTTTCCTATTTATTTATTTTTTTCTTTTTATTTTCTTTCTTTGGGATTTGTTAGCATTTTATCCTTCGTACTTTGAGATTTTCTTTATTGATTTTCTTTCTTTCTTTCTTTCTTTCTTTCTTTCTTTCTTTCTTTCTTTCTTTCTTTTCTTTTCTTTCTATTTTTCCTCCGTTAGCATGTATTATCATTTTATTCTTCGTACTCACTTTATTTTTTGATTGAATTTCTTTTCTTTCTTTCTTTTCTTTCTTTCTTTTCTTTCTTTCTTTCTTTCTTTCTTTCTTTCTTTTGATACATTGCCGTCATTATTCATTTCTTTTCTTTCGTGTGTATATTCAAGTATTTTTTTCTTTTCTTTCCTTCTTTTTTCATTAGTCTTTCTTTATGCACACTCGTCTTCTTTCTTTTTTTTTTTTCTTTTTTCTTTCTTTTCTTTCTTTTCTTTCTTTCTTTTCTTTCTTTTCTTTCTATTTTACTTCTGTTAGCATGTATTATCATTTTATCCTTCGTACTCACTTTTATTTACTAATTGAATTTCTTTTTCTTTCTTTCTTTCTTTCTTTCTTTTCTTTTCTTTTCTTTCTTTCTTTTCTTTCTTTTGATACTTGCCGTCCTTATTCATTTCTTTCTTTCGTGTATATTCAAGTATTTTTCTTTCTTTCCTTCTTTTTTCATTAGTCTTTCTTTATGCACACTCTCGTCTTTCTTTCTTTCTTTTCTTTCTTTCTTTCTTTCTTTCTTTCTATTTTACTTCCGTTAGCATGTATTATCATTTTATCCTTCGTACTCACTTTATTTACTGATTGAATTTCTTTCTTTCTTTCTTTCTTTCTTTCTTTCTTTCTTTCTTTCTTTCTTTCTTTTGATACATTGCCGTCATTATTCATTTCTTTCTTTCGTTTATATTCAAGTATTTTTCTTTCTTTCCTTCTTTTTTCATTAGTCTTTCTTTATGCACACTCTCGTCTTTCTTTTTTCTTTCTTTCTTTCTTTCTTTCTTTCTTTCTTTCTTTCTTTCTTTCTTTCTTTCTTTCTATTTTACTTCCGTTAGCATGTATTATCATTTTATCCTTCGTACTCACTTTATTTACTGATTGAATTTCTTTCTTTCTTTCTTTCTTTCTTTCTTTCTTTCTTTCTTTCTTTCTTTCTTTCTTTCTTTTGATACATTGCCGTCATTATTCATTTCTTTCTTTCGTGTATATTCAAGTATTTTTCTTTCTTTCCTTCTTTTTTCATTAGTCTTTCTTTATGCACACTCTCGTCTTTCTTTTTTCTTTCTTTCTTTCTTTCTTTCTTTCTTTCTTTCTTTCTATTTTACTTCCGTTAGCATGTATTATCATTTTATCCTTCGTACTCACTTTATTTACTGATTGAATTTCTTTCTTTTCTTTCTTTCTTTCTTTTTCTTTTTCTTTCTTTCTTTCTTTTGATACATTGCCGTCATTATTCATTTTTTCTTTCGTTTATATTCAAGTATTTTTCTTTCTTTCCTTCTTTTTTCATTAGTCTTTTCTTTATGCACACTCTCGTCTTTCTTTTTTTTTTTTCTTTTCTTTTCTTTCTTTCTTTCTTTCTATTTTACTTCCGTTAGCATGTATTATTATTTTATCCTTCGTACTCACTTTATTTACTGATTTAATTTCTTTCTTTCTTTCTTTTTTTCTTTCTATCTTTCTTTCTTTTTTTCTTTCTATCTTTCTTTCTTTCTTTCTTACTTAATTTCTCTCTTTTTTAGCATTTATTATAATTTTACCCTTACTAGTTTAAATTTTTCATTCTTTTCTAATTTCTTTTCATTCTTTCTTTCCATCATTCATTCTTTCCGTTATTCCTTCTTTCTATCTATCTTTCTTTATTCTTTCTTTATTATATATTAAAGTTTTACCTTTCGTACTTTAAAAACTTCGAATTTTCTTTTTTCTTTTCCTACTTTAATTCTTTTTTTCTTTTCATTCTTCTTTCTTTCATTCTTTCTTTCATTAGCATCTATCATCATTTTAGCCTCTCAAACATTTCAAATTTTCATTCTTTAATGATTTTCTTCATTTCTTTTCTTCTTTCTCTCTATCTATCTTTTTTCTTTTTACTTTATTTCTTTTCTTGGTTATATCTATTTTTCTTTCCTTCTTTAGCACATATCATTTTTCTATTCATATTTTAATATTTACTTTAATGATTTCCTTTCCTTCTTTATTTGTTTGTTTCTTTCTTTCTTTTTTAGCATTTATTATCATTTTAAATTTCTTACTTTAATTTTTTCTATCTTTACTTGTTTTCTTTCGTTCTTTCTTTCTTTCTTTCTTTCTTTCTTTCTTTAAATTTTTCCTGAGTTTCTTTCCTTCTCTCTTGCTTTCGTTCCTTCTATCGTTCTTTCTTTCTCTCTTTCTTTCTTTCTTTATTTTTTTCTTTCTTTTGCATTTATTATCATTTTACCCTTCGTACTTTAAATCCTTCTATATTTCCTTCTTTCTATCTTTCTAACATTCATTCATTCTTTCTCTCTTTCCTTCTTTCATTCTTTTGCATTTATTGTCATTTTACCATTCGTAATATTATATTCTTCATTATGACTGATTTTCTTCGTTTCTTTATTTTTGTGTCATTTACTCTGCTTACGTTCTTTTTCTTTTATACATTATTTATTTTTATTTTGTTTTTTATCCCTTGAATTACGTATTTACATTCATTTCCTTCGTTTCTGTGTTTACTTCATTTTTTTCTTTATTTTGTACTTTTGCTTTTTTATGATTTTAATATACTTTCTCTTATGTGTTATTTTCCTTATATTCATTCATTCATTCAATTCTTTCTTTCAAATCATTTTCGTTTTACGATTCCTTCTATTGTTTATTTTTATCTTTATTGCATTTTGTTTGCTTTGTTATCAATTTGCTTTTTCTTATATTTTCATGAGATTTTTTTCCCTTTCTAAGTTTCTTTTTATTTCATTCTTCCTTGTTGCTTTTACTATGATTTTCTCTTTTTTTATATTTGATCACGTTATTTTTACTCTTTCGTTCTTTCTTTCTTTCTTATTAATCATCATTTTACGTCTTCTTCTCTACGTTTTCCTTTTCTTTTAGTCATTTCTTTCTTTTCTCTCGTTATTACATATTTTATAGTAATCATTCACACACTTTTATTTTTTCTTTTTCTTTCTTTCCTTCGCTTTTATTATATTTATTTTTCCTTCTTTTTCTGTTATTCTTTCTCTCACATTCTTTTTGCTTTTATTATTTTACTTTGATTATCATGTTAATCCTGGTATTATTTTTCTTCTTTCCTTCTTTTTCTTTCTTTTTCTATCTTTCGTTATTTACATATTTTTATCGAACTAACGTTTTCTCTCACGTCCTTCTGTTTTGTCTTCTTTTTTCTAATTAGATTTCTTTCTTCTTATTATTTAACAATTCTTATATTTATTTTCTATCGTTCCGTTTTTCTTTATTTTTCTTTCTACTTTCTATCTCTATCTATTTAAGTATTTTTATAGTACTCATGTTTTCTCTCATAGGCATCTTTCTTTCTTTTTCATTGTTTGTTTGTTTCTTTCTTTCTTTCTATCTATTTATTTCTTTTGTTCTGTTTCTTTCTTTCTTTCTCTCGCTATTCATTTATTGTCTTTCTTTTTCTTCTTCGTTTATTCTCTCTTTATTCATTCATATATGTTTTAGCACTTACATTATGTTTCTTTCTTTCTACCTATTTCTTTAGTTCTGTTTCTTTCTGTCTCTCGCTATTCATTTATTGTCTTTCTTTTTCTTCTTCGTTTATTCTCTCTTTATTCATTCATATATGTTTTAGCACTTACATTATGTTTCTTTCTTTCTACCTATTTCTTTAGTTCTGTTTCTTTCTGTCTCTCGCTATTCATTTATTGTCTTTCTTTTTCTTCTTCGATTATTCTCTCTTTATTCATTCATATATGTTTTAGCTTTTACATTATGTTTTTTCTTTCTACCTATTTCTTTAGTTCTGTTTCTTTCTGTCTCTCGCTATTCATTTATTGTCTTTCTTTTTCTTCTTCGTTTATTCTCTCTTTATTCATTCATATATGTTTTAGCACTTACATTATGTTTCTTTCTTTCTACCTATTTCTTTAGTTCTGTTTCTTTCTGTCTCTCGCTATTCATTTATTGTCTTTCTTTTTCTTCTTCGATTATTCTCTCTTTATTTATTTATATATTTTATAGAACTTACGTTTTCTCTTAAACACTTGATTTAATTTCCTTTTCTTCTACTTTCTTTTTCTTCTCATTTCTTTTTCTTCTCCTTTCTGTTTTTACCTTTCTTTCGCTTTTATATTCATGTAACCCTTTCTATTATACATATTTCTTTATTTCTTTCTTCCTTCCTTTCTTTTTTCTTTCTTTCTTTTGCCGGTATTTTCATATTACGCCAGTTATCATTTTTCTTTCTTTTCTTTTTCACTTTCTTTCTCTATTTATTTATTTATATATTTTTATAGCACTTACGTTTTCTCTCACACACTTGATTTAATTTTTTTCTTCTCCTTTCTTTCTTTCTTTCTTTCTTTATTTCATTCCTTCTTTCTTTCTTTCTTTCTTTCTTTTTCTATCTTTCTTTCTTTCTTTCGCTTTTATATTCATGTAACACTTTCTATTATATGTATTTTCTTTCTTTCTTTCTTTCTTTCTTTCTTTCTTTCTTTCTTTCTTTCTTTATTTCATTCCTTCTTTCTTTCTTTCTTCTGTCCTTATTATCATATTAGGCCAGTTATCATTTTATTTTATTTTTCACTTTCTTTCTCCCTTTATTTATTTACATATTTTTATAGTACCCACGGTTTCTCTCACACATTTTTCTTTTCATTATTTGTTTTTTTTTTCTTTTGATTTTATTAGCATATTACGCCTGATGTTATATTTTTCTTTCATTAATTCAGGGCACCTCAGACTGATAACAGTAATCAATGTGTGTTCGTGTATTTGTGTGTGTAAATGCATATCAGTGTATGAACGCGTCCGTGTGTTAGTGTATTATATATATATATATATATATATATATATATATATATATATATATATATATGTCCTTAAATGAAATAATCGACTTAGTGGAATCATTGTTTTTACACAAACGTCACTGTCTGATTGTCTCGTTCTTTTTAGTCGATTACCTATTTGCTATCTACATCAAATATTTCTTTTCCCCTTCAGCATAATTTCTGATTTGTCCTGTTGTTGGAAACACTGAGGAGCCGGCGTTGATTACGTTACAGACGCTATTTTCCACCCTTTTTTTCTTTCCTCCTGCTTTATAATAGGCGCAGATGTACATGCCAAGACGATCGTTTATTGGTCGCATGGAGACATACATATCTGTGACGTTGCGAAACGCACGTTTTTTCGTACCAACAGTGAGATGATTTCTTATAAGCGAACACTCGATTTTCTAAATATGACGTACTCTCAAAATTAGAGGTTGGCAAAATGAATATTAATCACAAAACAGTGATAAGGGAAGAATTGTAATTAACGAAAACTGTGTTGATGGCCGGAACGAAAAAAAAACAAACGATGGGACACTTAGAAGCAGGAACAGAAGTGTATCATTACTTTACTCTTTAGGATTTAGTTTTCGCTTCATTCTAAAGTCTTCTTGATCTCTTTCACCCCAAGTGACTTTGTCGCCTATCTGTAAAGGAATGCGTGAAGAAGGGATTAACTCTTAATTGTAAACAGGCACAATGTATGGGATTTAGTAAGAAGAAGAGTACAAGAAGCAGGCTACAATTTGGACATTTAAAAATTATTTTTCTACAATGATGTTCACCCTGTAAAATATGTCACGTAGATCCTTGAAAATTTTCAAAGCGTCAATATATCACTTAATGCAAATGCTGGTTTGGTTTGGTTTGGTTTGGTTTAAGGCATATCAACTTCAATGTGTCATTTAAAGCCAACAAATTTTTTTTCTGGTAATAGTTTTGTTTTATCAAAAATCTATTTCTGTTATTTTTCCTTAAAAACGTATAGCTGGTAATATTATTTTTCAAAAACGTATAGCTGGTAATGTTATTTTTTTCAAAAACTTATAGCTGGTAATATTTTTTTTCAAAAACGTATAGCTGGTAATAGTTTTTTTTTTCAAAAACATATTGCTGGTAATATTTTTTTCTTCAAAAATTTTTTTCTGGTAATAATTTTTTACAAAGTATTTCTGGTATTAAAACCTATGTTTACACTTTTATAATGCCTTTTACCTCAGTTTCTGGGTTGACAATTTGCTCATAGCTGGGACCCTAACAGATGCTACCACCCCGGGTAAGGGTGGACCTGGGAACACCACCAATTGAGGTGGTTCCACGCTCTTCAAATAGCCTCCTGATCAGAAGCCTTGCTGTTGGACGTAGTTTATCGTCTTACCCTGAACGCAGATGTAGTTTATCGTCATACCCAGGACGCGGATGTAGTTTATCGTCTTACCCTGAACGCAGATGTAACTTATCGTCTTACCCTGGATGCGGATGTAATTTATCGTCATACTCAGGACGCGCAAATGCTGTTGTTTGAGGCGATACTTATTGATACGAAAAATTAGATTTATGCCTTGCACTAATTTTTGAGCATTTCTCTGAACAAATGCAGAGAATCTGTCTATATTTCTGAGATGAGGTATTACGTACACTATTTACATTGTTCGGACTATCATCCTCATTTTTGGTGCCATATTTATCACGTTTCGGGCGTTGTACATTCCAACCACATGAAGAAACCCGGAGTGTACAACGGCCGAAACATCGTGATAAATATGGCAACAAAGATGAGGATGATATTTCGTAAAATGTAGATAGTAGAATTGCACAGAAATGCCAAATTTCTGTAGGTTCTTGCTTTAAAATGACTTCCAATTTATACTATTTCAAGAATAAATGCAAATAAAGTTAATATATTTTGTATTACTGTTATACTGGAACATACCTATTCTATTGTTAATAGCCTCTGCCACATATAATAAGTAGTAGTAGGAGCAGTCGCCAGTGACCTCAGTGAGATGGTGAGTCAGTCGATGTTGGACATTAAAGTATCAACCACCACAACTAGATCGCTGCGTCATTAACTATTATATCAAGTTCCTAACGTTTTGTACGTCGAAACTTTTTAGGGCCGAATTAGTGAAATACAAGCTTCCACTAGTGAAATACAAGCTTCCACTGTGAAACTACTCTATAACAATTACGTACATTGAATGGAAAACATATTAAAACCAGAAATTCTGATTATGGATTACCACAAGCAAAATATTTCATATTTTTTTACCTTATTCAATAAGTGTGTAAAAAATTCTAAATATTACAAAAATGGCTACTCAATAAATGAAATTTCTTAGATCATTTTTTGATCATAATTAATAAAAACAAAAAAAAACTCAGATAAATGTGTATATAACACCATAATACTGATGGGCACAAATTATAAGCGAAATTTTAAATTTGGATAGTTTACTGTATATCACACTGAAACTACAGCATTGCATAATATATTACATTGTAGTATAGCCAAATTGTTCAGTATAATTTCCCTTTGAAGCAAATGAAGGTCTTATTTGATGGCACAATAATTTAGTAATAATGTTCTTGTACCATGCATTTCTCCATATAGAATTTGTACAGCTTCAGTACATTATAAATTTAATATGGCTGTGCTATAAAGATGGTAGTAATAGGAGAAGAATCCTCTTTGGAGGCAGTTACAAGGATAGAACTGGTGGAACAAGAGAATGTAGTTCTCATGAACAGTTCAGTAGTAGAAAAGTAGAGAAATTTAACTGCAACTTACTTTAACAGACAACGGAAAATCTGACACAGAAGCACATAGGCGCATTCAAATAACAAATATTACCTTCCAAAAGATAAACTATGCATAAAGAATAATGGTAGTTTCGTTAGTTACTGTTATATACGGATAAAGTGCAGCTGCCGACACTTGAGTTTGAATATAGATCGCCAGCGAGCAAACGCATTTGATCACATTATTGAATTAAGTAGACCACGTGACTATAGAGAAAACGCATACATAGGAAGTTGCGTTACGTCTAGATTGATCGCTACTCTGTTCTCTATAACTATACGGATCACCATTTCTAGTCTATCCTCTATTACTATACGGATCACCATTTCTATTCTATCCTCTATTACTATACGGATCACCATTTCTATTCTATCCTCTATTACTATACGGATCACCATTTCTATTCTATCCTCTATTACTATACGGATCACCATTTCTAGTCTATCCTCTATTACTATACAGATCGCCATATCTACTCTATCCTCTCTTACTATACCGACTGCTATTCTCTACTCTATTCACTATATTATTTCTCTTTGCGGGTCACTATACGGATTATCTATTCGAGAGAGTATTATGTAGCAAGTACTATTAGTGCGAGAGTTATTCGAAGGCGTCTGACACCAGTATTGTTGAAGAACGTTATTATAGTTGTATCTGCTATTTCAAAGTCTCTACTACAATGAACATTACAAAAGTGACAACGAGTATTCGTTAACATTACTAAAGTGGCAATGAGTTTTCATTGAGTCACAAAAGTAGCTATCTATCTATCTATCTATCTATGTGAGCATATGTTTTATAACTACACTCGTATATTTTAAGAATTATAGGAGATTATATTGAGATTACGTGTTTATTTTCTCAGTGATGGCAAGAGTTACATGCGCGATTAGAAAGTTTCTACTACAATGAGCATTACGAAAGTGACAAGTGGTTGTTGATATAACAAAAGTGGCCAAGAAAAAAAAATCTTGAAACGCGATATAATATCAGATATACTATCTTTCACTGAATTCCTTTTAATCATTTCATCCTAAGCAAAGAGGTAATGTCACTAATATGCAGGGTGTGTTACGGGGGATTAAAAATGAAAGAGAAGACTGAGAATAGGGAGGATTGAGAAACAGACAAAAGAATTCAAAAAGACACATCATGGCGATTGGCGTTGCTTTTAAATTTTTGAAGATTGTATTTATCACCGAAGCAAGGAATCATTGAAAAAAAAATTCTTCCAAGATGAACAGCAGATCTGGCACAATAGTAAGATTAGTATCGATAAATATGTGTACAACGTTGAAGTTTTAACGAAAATGGGGGAAAACTACTTAGTTTGTCTAAGAAACAAAAAGAGACAGTTGCTGGGACATAAAATGAGAAATGACGGTTTGGAGAACTTGAAACTCTCAGGATATTTTTGGAATACAGCATGCAACCCATTTAAGGAGATTTTAAAAATGGACGACAGAACGCGGACTGGTATAGATAATAAAGAACCAAGAATGACAGAGCTAGAAAGGATAGTTGATTGATTCATTTTTTTACGATTTATCAACCCTTTCTAAGTTAGAGAAGAGACAAAAAACTTTTTTAGATTGTAAGAATATTTTGAGGTAATAATAATAATGATTTAGTGATCCAAATATCAATAATTAAGCCATAGCTGGAGGTTGAATAAGCGAATTCATATCTTTCCCAAAGGTATTTGTGCGTAAGTGTAGATAATAAAACCCACTAGAATTAGAACACGGCTTTCCGATTAATAATTCAGAGCCATGACCCCCCCTTACAACCAAGCATTCAACATCTGGTATTCTTAAGGGTCACTTACCTACATATTGACCAGATTCGTTGCTTAACCTCGTTGACCGTACGGGAAGCGGTGTTTGGGCGTGATGTGCCTGTGAACTCATTAAACCACCCGCACATCCAAGTTTACAACACCTGTTATTCCCAGGCTGACACCTATCTAAGTACTGACCAAGCTCGACCTTGTTTAACTTCATTGATATTATAGGAGCCGGGGTACCAACGTGATATGGCCGTAAGACTAGTGAGGATTGGGCAGTTCAAGCCTAGAGATGGTGGAAATGCATTGTTTTTTCGCTATGTTCTGGCACTTGTAAAGATAGGGAGTGTTTGTAGAAGTCGGATAATTTCTGAAATGCTATAAGCAGCCGGAGATCTTTCCAGCATCTTTAGCGATGAATTGTATATATGCTTTTCATTTGAAGTAGTGGAGAGCAGCATAATCGTTATCATACTTTGGGGATTGATAAAAATGATGGTATCTACTGCTGTTATATTTTTTTGTTTTTAAATTGTTAGTAAATTATAATAGATCTTTATCCGAGAAAAAGGTTTCGATTATATAAGGTTAAATCAGCATTATTTTTCGTTTTTCTTAACTGTATTCTTCAAGATAGATGTACTGAACTGAAATATGTCGGAAGGAAAAAAATGAGAAATGTTTTTTTTTTCCTTTTTTGTCAGATGAAAGGCAAATGGAATATTTATGATTCACAAAGCCGATAATGTAAACAGTACGACATATGGTTTTTGTAAGCATGCATAATTGAGCTGAGATTTTAATCGGTTATATTGAAAAGTCGACAGCAAAGAAAATTGTTTGATGTCAAAGACATAAAAGACATTTATAAACACAAATTTTGTTATCGGCAAATATTGTTTTTAATAAGTAGCCGATCGCGGGCCAATTGACTTCAGGATACAAAAAGAATGAGGAACATTTTTATTTTTGCCGAAGAATGTATTGTTTTGAATAACTGACGCTTTGTTTGAAGGTCACTGTCGTTTCTCCAAACATTAGAAAAAATTATTAATTGCTATAAATTTTGGTGATTCCTGAAGTGCGCTGGGAGTCGGGCAAAATGTCTATGAACAGAGCGCTTCATCGACTCAGTATCTGGAGTGATAGACGGCAAGAGGCGCAAATTCAGATGAGATAGCAGCGAACGGAGGGGCTGCTAACCCCACGTGACCTGCTGCCAAAAGAATTCCCGACAGACTTCTTTGTTGATTGAACCCGATCAAAATATTAGAAGAAAAAGACAAAGTGTCTACATAGAGAGTTTAACAGGAAGGGTTAATTTTGTTTTATCAAAAATTATATAAACCAACTGAAAATTAACCTTCTTCGTTATTTTGTTACGTTACTTTTATTTTCGCCTTTTGTAGCGCGGTTCAGCCACGGTCCGATTCAGCGCTCAAGTACGGGAGAAATTCGATCTTCACTGCTCTGTGATCAAGGAACACAACATGTGACAGTCGCAGATGAAGAAACGAAGCGGAAAGCAGGCAACCATCTTTTTTGACCGGCGCCAGTACGTTTCAGAGTGAAAACAACACAGGATTGAACTTGGCCGGACGTGGTATAATATAAGCAGTGAAATTTGAAATATTTTACGAGAGTTTGTGACGGATCTACACATATTAGGCAGAGTAGTCATGGTCTGCAATGAAATCTTTTACACCACTGCTTTACTTTGAGGCCTCCTCGCTTACCTGATATTTTAATGATCAAATCTGTAGGACTTTGTGACCTCTTCCAATTTAAATGATTTATTTAACTACTGATGCATTGTGTCAATGTTTAATAGATTTAATTATCGTCCAAAGAAATTTTTAATCAGCTCGTGTTAATTAACCTATAACAGGTTTCCTCATAGCGGACATTATACAATCGTATTCTATCTCTCATTAAGACATGCTTTAATTACTAACAAAATTAGTTTGACATCTGGCGTAGTGCATAATTATACAAGCATATTCTGTTAATTTATGGTTACTTACAATTATTTTCTTTATGGTTTTCAATAGATATTTTACATTGATGTGCATTCTGTACAAGGCCCGAGAACCACTCGATGTGGAGGGCTACAAAGTAAGAGGTTGAAGAAGCAAAGGAAGTTATTGAGAAGGAAAATATTTTAGAAACAACAAGAAACCCAATACTGAAAAAGAAACAAGGAATAAACACCTACTCATCTTCAAAAAAGCGAGAAGGGGCGAGAACCGGACGATAGACGAACCTATATACTCCTGTTGAAGAAAAAATAAATATGTAGTAAATAATAAGTTCAGGATTTGGGGGTAGATACGTTAGAAGTATAGAGATGAATTTGATATTCGAAGGGGATAGAAACCCGATCCTAAAGAGGAGACAAGGGAAAACTTCTAACTCCTTTAAAAAGACTGAGGAGGTGTATGAACCGGACAATAGGCGAACATATTTACTCTTATTGAGATAGTAAGTGAATAAATAATAAATAGAGTTTCAGAGTTTTAGGAAGTGATTTTATAAGTATAGTGTTGAAATAGATGTTTTAATTATGCTAACAGTGCATTTTCTTTATACATACAATGCCCCTATTTTGTAACTAGACTTTGGGTCAATTCCTTATAAGCAGCAATACGATTGCTGCGGATTTCAAATGTATATTCTTATAAAAATATCATTTAAATTCTACATAATTGTCCTATTCTATATGTTTCATGACAAAGACAAACATACCGTTGCTAGCTTTCACTAAATGGACGTAATAAGGCTTTTCTTTTCTTTTCTTAGACGATAGATTCTATTCAACAGCAAGGCCTCTAATCAGGAGGTTCTGAAGAACATGGAACTACCTCTTAATTTCTGGTGTTCCCAAGTCCACCCAGAGATAGGGTGGTAGCACCTGTTAGGTCCCATCTTTGGGCAAATAGTTAACCAGCAAACTGGGGTCGAAACATGTAAAAATTGGTTTTAATACTAGCAATGCATTTTTGTAAAAATATTACCAGCAATACATTATTACCATCAATATATTTCTTGAAAAACATATTATTACCAGCAATATATTTTTTGATAAAAAAATAATACCAGTAATAAAAATCTTGCCGGCATTAAATAACTCATTATGGTTGCTATGCCGTAAAACAAAACAAACCAGACTAAATTATCATTTTCTTCTTTGTGCTATACAGCAAGAGGAAGTTGCCAATCATAGCCTGCCGCAATTTACTATCCTATGTCCCACAATGTTAGTCTCATTACTATCAAGGCCAGTACCTAATTTTGCCACCGATTTACACAAGTTGGTCACCCCCTGTTTCCCTCTTGCCTTCATCATGTCATGCGTGTGTCAAATTCTCCAAGCCTATTTTCCTCATTATGGCTCCTAGGCATTTTAATAGGCTTTTTCTAATTCTTTTAGTTTCTATTTCACAATAGAACTACGTTGTTGGCCCTCGTGTTCCAAAGAGATCCCAGCCAAGTCTATAAACTTCGAGGTTCTGAATTTACAACTTATCTTCGCCTAGACTAAATAGCACCAAGGCTAGACAGTCAAGTCTACTTTGTTATTTAAGCCATGATTTTATTGATATGGAATCATTTTTTTTTTATTTGAAGAGAACAGAAAAGGCAAAGAATTTGAATCCAGTAGCTCGATCCAACTTTATTTACTAATGACTATTACTCTCCGCGTAAAGGTTATTATATTAAGAATGATGGATATGTTTTTTTTTCGGTTTATCAACCCCTGACTTTATGCCGAAATATATTTTTTGACTTGAAAAAATAATTTTTTGGTGAGTCAATATTGCATTACGAATTCTTTGATAATAACAATGATTTTTCCAGATACATGTCGTAATATTTAACCCAAAGATAAGGGGAGTTAGACTCATCAAATTCAAAAGAGTATAAGCATTCTCTATAACCGCATCTTTTTGAATTTTCTGGTTTCTCGATAACGAGCGGTTCTCTTGAAAAAACAAAATTCAAATATATATATAATATATATATATATATATATATATATATATATATGTATATATATATATATATATATATACATATATATATATATATATATATATATATATATATATATATATATATATATATATATATATATATATATATATATATATATATATATATATATATATATATATATATATATATATTATTTATTTATTATAATTTTATTTTGGACAAAACCATTTTACTCACTACAAAAATGCACTGAAACGAAGTTGCATCTTTGTAGTGAGGAAAATGGTTTTGTCCATATGATAAAATTATAATAAATAAATAATTATCATTCTATCGGTATCGAGCCCTCTTTTGGATTAATGCTGTGAACGTTAGATTTTATATATTTCTTTCGTTCTCGTCGCATCGGATATATATATATATATATATATATATATATATATATATATATATGATAAAAATAGTTCTATGGTATGTTATAATTATAGGTTAAATTGCTCAACAGAGATATAGTTCAGAGTAGAGATAAGTTAAGTTAACATTTAATTTTATTTATTACTATTAATGTTCTATCCCTTGATGTTGATCTTTTTAATTACAAGAACTAAATGCTTTAAAAATGTACCGTTAAAAATAATGTGGCTTCATGTTTGACAAAGTTTTATTTCTTGTACAAGTCAACGGTTAGAATGCATCTACAAGATGCAAAATTATTAAAATAATGGCTGCGATTGCAACATCATCTAGTATTTGGCGAAGAGAGTTTTAGTACAGGTCATGGTGCCTTACTAAAAAAAATGTTTTTAAGCATTGACCACTTTAAAAAAAATGCGCATGCTGTTCAGGAAAAACTTCTATTACAGCGAAAAAAAAACTATATTGTTCAGTAAATGCCTCAATATTCCTAATAAATCTAAATTCTAGATAACAGTAAAGTTCTCTTTCTCTCAAGGCTGTTTTTATAAGTATTTTTATTTTAAGTTCTAAATAATTTCCTTTTATTTTTATCAATTGTATTCTTCGAAACATAAAATTTAAAGTATGATTCACTTATATATTAATTGAGGCCACATATGAAGCAAGTATTCGATAACGTTTGAGAAAATTAAGGCCACTTTTGATTTCCTTTAATCTTTTTAACCAAAATAAGACAATGAAGCTACTAAGATGCAAAGGGTTACTGAATGTAAGAGAATATGAGAGAGAAAAAAACGCTATTAAACAGAGAGGACAATGAAACAAAAAGAATTAAGAAAACAGAAG